ACCTCCCCCGTCCAAGCCCCTAAACGTGAAAAGTTTCCCTCTTAACTCTTTAAGGACGAAGGGGACACACATATCCGACCTGCAACAAACCGAAAGCAATGTCAAGGCAGATTTCGGACCAACATACGCAAATCAAAACCACAAATCTGCATGTTATTTCATATTGCGCATGTTGTTTTACTTCAAGTTTCAGAAAGTTGGTGGTTGGCGGGTACTCTGGTGTGCTTTGCTCTTTCTTTCCTATCAGTCTATCGTTCTTATAGGATCTCTCTTCCTTCTTTTTTTGTTGTTGTTGTTGTAGGTTACTCTCTTTTAACATGTCTATTTTTCGGCACTTGTATGATCTTATTGTGTTATTGCAAGTGCCGCAAAACTCTGACTCTGACTAAAACTTAAGTTTCAGAAAAAGAAAGCAGCAGAATTCAAATATATCTGTCTGAATAATGAAGTACGTTACGCGTCTTAATTCAAAAGTGCACCGAAAACAGTGCCCCAAAAACAGTGCCCGCGAAAACAGCGCGCCGAAAAAAGCGCACATTGAAGGAGTTAACTTCTCCACTTCGCCCAGCCTCCCATGTTTTATGCACCACGGCGTGGTGAGATGTGATGGGCGACTGGCTAAGGCAGGGTCAGGACTCCGCGAACACAGGACCTCGCTGCCTGGATGACCATAGGGCAGAATGGAGCCATCAAGGTACCGTATGCGTTCTTTTGATTATTATGTTCCCAACATCATTTTTGTCGAAAAGTGGTGACGTACAAATTGTGAATAAAAATGAAGTAAAAGAAGACGTGTGTCTTATTGTTTAATAGTCTATTATTTTTTACCTGCATTAATAATACGGTTATAACAATTGTTGTATGTTTCGTCATCCTGGATTTTCAACAGGTGCGTCAGCATCATCATCTTTATCATCACCATCATCATAGTCGTCGTAGTCGTTGTCGTCTATTATGTACTGTCATTTTGTGGTTGTTGTTGTAAAGGTCTTTAAAATGATACAGTTTAATATTTCTTAATCTTTAAAGTCACAAACGTAGTTGTAGCGCATGTAGTTGTCTTTTAGAGTTTGCTGCTATGTGTTTTATACAGTCAGTCTAACAAATGAAAAAAAAAATTATACCCTCCTCCCCCCCAAAAAATATCCTCGAAACGAAACAAAACTAACAACAACGGCACTAAACCTCAGTCAGACTTCTGGACTCTACTGAAACAAAGCAAAACCACAAAACAAGAAAACCCTCAAAACAATAAATAGCTATAAGAATAAGAAGTCCTGATTTGTTAAGCACACGTCATGTCATAGCCATACGGTACTAAAAAGCCTGCCAAAGAAGTCCCGACGTCTGGGTTCCACCTGTTATCCAGGATTTGAACCTACAATAATTCTAAAGATCAAAACCCCACCAATGCCCTTTCCTGCTATGTGGTAATTTAATCTGTTCAGAGGATGTTTTGCACGTCTGAACTGGTAAAGGGAGAAACTATCATTCTTACGACATGTTGTCTTTTTCACTTTACATTGGTTTGAAAATCATCAGCAAGTCACGCGCCAATGCTCGAGAGAGAGAGAGAGAGAGAGAGAGAGAGAGAGAGAGAGAGA